TAGCTGTGTGGCGTTCTGAAAAGATGTTGGAAATAATTGGAAAGAATGAACTTGTGCACACAAATGACGCAAAATGTGAACGGCGTATTTCATGGCAGCATCACAAAGAGGTCTATGATCTATGCACGCCAAAAAGAAATAAATAAATAAGAGGGCATGTAGAACTTCTGATATGTGGTCAAGCAGAACATATGAGCCTTACTTTAGTTTGACAACACACATGACACACACAAGCCTGTTTATTTGTTTTGCCATTGGTCTGTTTTAGAGACATGTTGCAGGTCTTTGATAAAGATCTAATTATTTTCCTTTGGAAATACATTAAAAATTCACACTGTAAAACGCCTGTGTGTGTCAAAATTGTGATTAAAATTGAAATCTCAATATTGTTTAAGAAAATCATGATAGGTTTCTTTTACACATATCGCACAGCCCTAGTCCATGCCCACACATTATATTGAACAGTGGTTTCAGCTGCACTTGTTGTTATGGATGGTCACAATGCTAGCATTTTTATTTCACTTTCAAATCTCTTTCAAAAACACTTTAGTTTTAAAGCTTACTGAATCTTTAATTTAATACACAATTATTGTTTTTCTACTTAAGAAGTTTCTGAATTATAAAGTTTTATTTTTCATTGTGCTGTACTTTTGCATCACAAGACGCTGTTCAGTTCTGTAGCTGCTATAACAATCTAGTTAAAAATGACACAATAATTCCTGTTTGTAAAGCAAAAATATCCCTGTATGCTAAATTTTAAAAATAATATTTTTAAGATAAAATCAGGGTTGAGGAGTAACAGAATGTTACACTATGCCATAAAAGTAGTAGGCACGAGTAACGAGTGGGCAAGCTGTTAAAGCTCTCAGTTGTCCAGTCAATTATTTTGTCACATGCTGGTCAAGTACAAAGACCACAAGTTTGGGTATTTTGGACAGGCTCAGTCACTTACTTTCCTTCTAAATGATTGATTAACCTAAATATGTTAAAGGAATGATTCGATGAGTCACTCATTAAGACAGACTTTTATTTTTATTGTCATTTGTTTATTCCAGATGGAAATAAAACCAGCCACATATACATATATATATATATATATATAGACATGCTGCTAATAGTCTTGACCAGTGCTAAAACCTTGAAGCTGCTAATGTTGTGAAGCCTCCATTTTAACCTGTCTTCCTCTCAACAGGCTATGAATCAGCAATCATTTCCTTCACACTATGTGTCACAATCAATTTCACTGCTCTGCGTAACAGAATGGTTTCGCGTGACATCTCCAATCAGTAGGTAGGGAGCACATCCTTTCAATGGAAATAGGGTGCTGCACAGGGTCATAACTTCTGACAAAATGCAAATTACATTTGTAACATAAACTGAAATGTCAATTGAGCTGGGCTAGGGCTACTGCTGAGATTTTTAAACTTGAAAATTTACTATGCATGCTGTGCACTTGGTAAGTGGAGAATAGTATGGTGTTGTAAATTGTGGATTTAAAGCTGTTTCATGTAGGCAAGCCATGACCACAAATTGAGCAGATAATTAATCACAAATAAAACAAATAATTGTGATATTTAATTACTTAATATATTCTAATTACATTAATGATTTAAATTAAATTATAAGCCAATTTAAATGTGTTGTTTACTGTACCAGAAAGTAGACTATTTTGTATTCACAACTTGTAAAATTACACATTAATGAGATCATTTTCTTTTGATTCCTTTTTTTTTTATTAGAGTCATCTGTAAAGCTACAGCAATGCATGACAGAGCATTAAAGAAAACTGCTGATAAGTTGAAATTATGTCAGCTTGCATATCTAAACTGAACTGACCAGAGGGCCAATGGGAATCCCAGCCCCCACAAATGCCACCCCTTCGTGAACTAAAAAAAAGAAAAGAAAAAAAAAATAGCCTCAGCCCCTTTTGTGTCTCTCCTCGTAGCACAATGCAGCTCAAAGGCACAAATGCAGGCTCACACTCTGAACACAGAGACTGTAAAGCTCACAGCAGACACCATCTGTACCGCAGGTGTGTGTTTATGTTTACAGTACAGACCAACAGCCTCTTGACATTAAATGGAGAGGTAGGTCAAAGGTGACAGACGGATGTAATTAACTGCAATTGATGATATCAGCATATATTTAGCAAACGGAATGGTTGGGCAAGCAGAAGACAAGTTGGATCCTGTTAGCATATTCATGTAAAGGTTCATTAATAAACGTTAGTCCGTTAAAACTGTGGACTTTGACCTTATGGCACATTATACATATACAATACAATTTTTGAGTGTTTAGTATAAAATAAAATAAAATAAAAACAAACAAAACGATATTGTGAACATTAATAATTAATAATAATAACAAATAATTTATGACTATAACACGTTGCTCATTAAAATTCAAACACTGTATTTTGCATTTCCCCCATTCTTTTAATTACTCCCTGAACTGGCTGCGTGTTCTTGTTAGAATGTATGTCCATGTGCTAAAACATGAAAGTGATGAGAACGTGCATATGCATGGGACTCACGCGGGAAAAGTGAGAAGTGACTCATCTGAACAGCTGAATGAAAGTTACAATGCACAAGTCTTGTTGCTCAATGGTAAGAATCAGTTATGACCAATAATTATATCCACTGTCCGACTTGACAAGCATTCAATTGGTTATTCCTTGGATTGTAAACATTTGGAAAATAGTTTTGTCTGCAAATTTCTCATCGTGGTCCATTTTAAAAGTAGAAACATCCTATTCCAACTTTTTAATATTAATCAACTAACAAAAGATAATGATATCACTCTGCTTTTGACTGAATAGCTATATTGCAGTAATGTTTAATTTTATTCAACGTATACAGAGAAGATTACATGCCATATGCAGTGGTTTATTTGATTATATTTTAAAGTTTATGTAACAGAAAACTACTTTAAGGTACATAAAAAACCTGAAAAGCACTGTTTAATTTAGTATTATATTGCTATATTGTATTCATTTTGTATTGTTATTTTGCTTGTATATATATATATATATATATATATATTAATTTTTTTTATTTTTTTATTAACATATTATACACTGAACCGGTGACCTAAAACCAAACCGAACCGTGAAAAGTCTGTATTGTTGCACCGCAATCTTTACAATGAATTTACTAAATTGTTAATGTATCCTTGCTTTAACCTCTTAAGGCCCAAGGTGTTTTTTTACAGGCATTTTTCTTTTTGCTATTTGGGCTTATTGGAACCTAATTAGAAAAAAAAACCTGAGTATCACCTTTTGATATGATGTACTTTTATAGAAAAATGATGTGCATATATGTGGAAATAAAAAACTTTTTCCTGACAGTTTTATAATGCACATATAGCCATATCACCCTGCAGCCCAAGACCGGTTACTCACTAAAGCTAAGCAGGGCTGAGCCTGGTTAGTACCTGGATGGGAGACCACTAGGGAACACTAGGTTGCTGTTGGAAGTGGTGTTAGTGAGGCCAGCAGGGGGCGCTCAACCTGAGGTCTAAGTGAGTCCTAATGCCCCAGTAAAAGTGAAGGGGACACTATACTGTCAGTGGGCGCCGTCTTTCGGATGAGACGTTAAACCGAGGTCCTGACTCTCTGTGGTCATTAAAAATCCCATGGCACTTCTCGTGAAAGAGTAGGGGTGTAACCCCGGTGTCCTGGCCAAAGTCCCTCTATCGGCCCATACGATCATGGCCTCCCAATCATCCCCGTCCACTGAATTGGCTCTATCACTGTCTCTCCACTCCACCAATAGCTGGTGTGTGGTGAGCGCACTGGCGCCGTTGTCCTGTGGCAGCCGTCGCATCATCCAAGTGGATGCTGCACACTGGTGGTGGTGTGGAGAGACCCCCCTCATGATTGTGAAGCGCTTTGGGTGTATGTCCATACACAATAAATGCGCTATATAAATACACATTACATTACATTACATTACATATAACATATAATTGTTTTTTTAACTTGCTTTGACTATCAAAGAGTAAAAACAAAATTTTTTGCCCATTTTGAACAGTTAAAAATAGGGTTTGGGACATTTCATATGCTGCAAAACAGTTGCAAGATAACATTGTATGTCTGTAGTAAAATATAAAACATTCAATGTGTTTTTTTAATAGCCACTTAAGAGCTAAAATGTGCTGTCCACGTATGTGGACACTCAAGCCCTATAGGTTAAAAGAGTTTTCTGAAGAAATTGCTCATTTAAAAAAACCTTTAAACTTTTAACTTTTTAAAAGTAACTTATTTTGTGTTTTCTTTCAGCAAAACTTCACTGTAAAAAAAAATAAAAAAATAGGCCCAAGGTCTAAAACTTAGACTGCCGGTTTTCTGATGATTTATCCTACCATGTCAGATTGTCCTACCTCCCATTCAAAAAGTAGGTACCACGTTCTGATGAAGCAATATGCTACCCATCAGATTTTGCTACTAGTGTAAATTTTAATGTGGAGTAGTGTGATATGAAGCTGTAATATTGCCCTAACCCACCTAATCTTTAACCCCAACCTCAGAACCATTGAAATACAGTGTTGGTAGCATAATCTGTTGGGTAGGATATAACATCAGGACACTGGTTACTGGTAAAAACATTCCCAAATTACCTAAATACTTTTTTTATATCTATTTTTAAACAGACCATTTTTAAACATTAAACAGAAATATTTTATTAGAAATTTATTAAAACAGACAGTAGAAATTTGGAAAATCTTGCAATTTAATACATGCATGTACAGTGAGTATTAATGTATGTATTAAAATTATGCAAAAAAAAATTTACATTTTTAAATATTAAAATTAATATTATTAATATTAAACATCAGATTGCATATTTACACAATTCCTTAACCAAACCACACAAAATTGTTGACAAGTCACACCATTTCTTAAGCTTCAATGTGACACTTGACATGTTCATTTTAGTCCCCAAGTAGACTTACACACAACAAATGACATTCCACATATAAAACAAAAATTAACACGATACCTTTTTTGACTCCTTGTGTAAACTGGACACCAACTTAACATCATCCTTAACATCCACCTTTACACTAGCCTGCTGATGGACACCATAGTCGCCAGGCTCCTGTTAAACACACATCACTGGCTTTATGCTTTATTGATCAATCATCAGAACATCTAATCAGCTGACATGTGGATAGAGCTGTCCCTATATCTGATTAACATATTCAATAGCATTAGTATTGAATTATTCAGTCTGGGTTGATCCAGTGACAGCTTATTTGACCCCGTTTTGTACTGCACTCAATCACTTTTGAAAAGATTGCGTCTCTATCCTACAACGAAACTCAAGCTTTTATTCATCGATGTCTTAGATGCCCTTGAAATAATGATACATTGACTTCACGACACATATCGCACCATTATTAGAGATAATCTCTTTGACGGACGAGAAAACAAGAAGAGCATCGGTTACGTCCTCCATATTTAAGTCGAGCAGATATCTTTTAAAGGGTCAATAATCTTTTCACCTACACAGAGCGTTATCAGATTTGGTTTACGGCTTGATAGAAGCCTATGCATTATCTGAGGCTGATAATTGGCGGGGAGTCTCTCCTACAACACAAAGACTTCTTTTCCGCAGGGATGCAGGCCTCAAGGTCAGAGCTCAATTCTGCCATGAAGACAACAGGGGGGCATTACCTTCCACCAAACAAGCTGTCAGCACTAACTTTGTCAGGGCACAGACAAATAAACTGCTAGAGAGTGATAATAGATCTAATTTCACCTCCCTGTCACTCCCTCCCTCAAGGGAGGTGATTCCAAAGCATCGTAAGAGCTTAAGGAGCAGCGGGAAAAAAAAAAAAAGTCAAATGACAAAAACCAATGCTATCTGAAGAGATAAAGGGGTAACTCACTTGAAATTCATCTCCAGAAGGAGCATTGATTTCGATGTCTAAAACTTCACCATGGTCCACCTCTGTGTGCTCTTCTTTAGGACATATGGCTTGGTCTTTAGCAGGGTGTGATGTCTCGCACACAACATGAGGCAGTGCAATTGCTTGATGTTTTGGTTTAGAAGAGCTTTCATAGTCAGATCCGAAAAGAAAAAAAAAAGAAAAACCACATCCTGTCAACCACACTATCTTCTCTCGCAAGTGTTTTTATTAAACATGTATGTCAGACATGAAACATACAGTCAGTTTCTTTTTGTTTTTCTTTTTGTTTTTGTTTTTTTTATTAACCCTTCCAATCCACAAAGTCTCATCACACTAATTTAAGCTGATAAGTAAAATAGATATCTGTTTATTAAAAAGAGGAGATGAAAATAATAAAAGAAAGCAATAGGGCAAGGTCCCATTATTATCAAATAACTGAATGGTCTATCTTCTTTATCTGATCTTAAACTAATTGCCAAGTAATCTGTAATCAAAAAAGTAATCAAAACATACCTGTACAACCTTTTTATAGCATATAATTCATTAATTTTCCTTCGGCTTGTCCCTAATTTATCAGAGGTCACCAAAGCAAAATGAACCACCAACTTATCCAACATATGTTTTACAAAGCGGATGCCCTTTCAGCCTGCAACCCAGTACTGGAAAACATCCATACACTCTCATTCACACACATTACGGCTAATTTAATTCATTCAATTCACCTATACCACATGTCTTTGGATTGTGGGGCACCAAGAGGAAATCAACACGAACACGGGGAGAACATGCAAACTCCACACAGAAATGCCAACTGGTCCAGCTGGGGCTCGAAACAGCAACCTTCTTGCCAGGAGGCGATGGTGCAGTCCAAAGACAATCCCCACAGTCCAAAGACATGCACTAAAGGTGAACTGAATTAACTAAATTGGCTGTAGAGCAAGTGTGTGAATGAGTTTGTATGGGTGTTTCCCAGTACTTGGTTGCAGCTGGAAAGGCATCCGCTGTGTAAAACATATGCAGGATAAGTTGGTGGTTCAATCCTGCTGTGGCAACCCCTGAGTAATGAATGAATATATGGATGCAATTATACTACAGTATACATTTGTCAAAAAAAAAAAAAAAAAATTAAAAGATATTTCTTAAAAATCATTTTAAAATCCTGTTCTCGTGTTTGTTGTTGTACCACTACTTTATATGTGAGATTGTGCGACATGCAGGATTTATTAACGTCAACTGTTTCCTTTTTCCATTTTTCCCCACAATTTAGATTTTAGTGAATTGTACTAAAGTCAATTAAGGTCAATATGCAACATAAAAAATGAACAATCTCCCTGTTAAAGTAGTATTCGACAGAAATCAGTATTCTCCAAGCAGAGCTGCAGGATTCTTGTTTGGAAATTTGCCAGACAGGAAAAGGAGCAAGATAAGGGCATTTTGAAACAACATTCCCATTATGTGCGATATGCTCCAGTATTGTTTACCCTGATCAGAGCTCACATCAAGCTCTGGGGGCTATCAAAAATCAACCTTTATCTAACGGTTCACCTATAGACCAGGATGCAACAGAAAGAGGAAAAGTTCACCTTACCTCATAGTTTCGTTCTCATCATCGCTACGCAAAAGGTCATCGTTCAGCTCTTCATCTGATGTGTCCAGGAAATCCTGCGAAATATACCTTCAGTTTAAGCCCTTCACAACCAACACTTTAATGAGTTATTCATTTGGGAATTAAAGCAGTTTCAAATCAGATTCACATGAGCAAGACCGTATCCATCTAATACACTAATGTATATTTTATTTCACTGGTTTACTGATCAATAATATTGCATCTATAAATTAAATATGGCCTTTAGTCATCAGACTGTGGTTGTTTGATTCAAATAATCCAAAATGAATATCTATTGGCAATTTTAAATAAATCATACAACTGCTGAACACATCATGCTCAGGACTTCAATAATCTAAAGCCTATTTGTAAAGTCTAATACATAAGATGAATGCCAAAGAACATATCCAGTTCTTAAAATAGGCAAAAACCTTTTTGCTTCTTTCAGTGAGTTTAAGTAGTCTCAGTTATGAAAGCCAAGTCTTTATAGTTTCCTCTCACTTAAAATCTGGTCAATCCTCAAGAGACCTCAAACCTGCCACAATTAAGGCTATTTCTAGTGCTAATGTCCCTTTATCTAACGAACACCTTGTATTTGTGCCGTAGGACACATTTAGCAGATAATATACCATTAGCTGGGAAAAAAAATAGGACAGCTGGCCCTGTGAAGAAACCACCTGTCACAATCCTGAGGCAGAATGTGACACCATCACCTGAAACCTGGCATCTTAACAGACATTTACTGCTGTTTATCAGCATATCATACTGTGCACTGAGAATGCAATCACTTCACATGATCTTTAAGACATGATTCAAGGTGTAAGACAGCAGACTAAAATATATTCACATACACTATGTTCTGGTTGTAGTGAAATTGCTTACTTGTTTGGATGTCAACCAGTCATCCACCAGAATGTCTTCCTCTGAATCACTTGATAATGTGCAAAAAGATAAAGAATTACAAATCACTGACCACAAATGTATTTATTATCAGTCGTATTAACAGAATAGCTTAGCAAATGCACCATTAAACCACTTTTTGTTCTGCGTCGAATCAACGAAATTTCACAACTTTCATTCACTCAAATTTTAGATTTTGCATTTTTTATTCTTTTTTTGTTTTAATATTTTTTATTAATTTTCAGATATATCCATTCACAAACGCTATAACCCTTACATAAAATAGAACAAAACATAGCTGTGGATCACTTCAGTCTAACATTACGAGTTGTGGAGAAACAAAGCAATGTTAATAAATAACAAAATAACAAAAAAATAAATACAAATAAAACAAACAAAACAAAAATAAATAAATTATATATACATATTTATCTATAGGGTAATACTTAATATGGTCAACATATTCAATAAACGGGTGCCATATCTTAGTGATTCTAGCTCTAATTTTTTATTGAAGCACAACAGAAAGGGTATTGGATATTGATCTCCAAAAGTTTTTGAATTTAGGGCAAATCCAGAATGTGTGCATTAAAGTGCCCTCAGCGCCCTGGCATCTATTACAAAAAGAGCTAACACCAGGAAACGTTTGAGCTAATTAAACTTTAGATATACGAGCTGTATGTACTATTTTAAAATGAAGAAGAGAATGTTGAGCACAAATGGATGAGGAGTAAATCTTACTGAGAACACCATTCAACATTTCATCTGGGAGTGGACTACCAAGGTCCTCCCAGGCTTTCTTAATGTTATCTATGGGGGAAGACGTCTGATTTATCATCAAATTATAAATAATAGAAATGGAACCCCTAACTACTATGTTAAGTGTAGGGTATGCATCTAATGGATTATCAGGGGGGATGGTTGAAAAATCTGGCAGAAATGATTTAACATAAGTTCTTACTTGCAAGAATCTAAAAAAAGGCATAAGGCATATCAGGCAACAAATTGAGGGAAAGTTGGTTTTATATTCCGACATTCAATCAGTGACAACTTGTGGCATGCTCCCTATATTGTTTACCATGGTACTTTGAATATTTTGGCCTGAAATCACATGCAAGTGTAACTTGAAAACAACATTAGCACTATTTATATGACTGTGAACAGTGTTGTACTTTAATACTCATTGGCTGCAATTTGCAAAGAATGTTTTTGTGAACTTATATTTTTAAGGAGAAAGTCTGAATGTGTGACATAACAACCAACTTTACCTCAATAGGCAACAATCACGTATGCTAAAGTAGATTTTACTAATACATCTGACCTACTGACAGTGGTGTAAAATAACAAATTACAAATTACTGTAATTGAGTTGTTTTTCTCAGAAATTGTTCTTTATCAAGTAGTTTTAAAATGAGTACTTTTGCTTTACCTTGAGTACATTTTTAATACTGTATCGGTACTTTTACTTCACTATTCCGTCAACCTGCAGTCACTACTTTATTTGTTCTTGTCTGTGCAGATTGGCTCATAAGAAAAATCTGTCTTGTGATTCCGGTCCAATCAAATCGCACATAGAAAGTAAATTGCATCATACTGAGCTACCTCAAGACACGGGGGCTTTATAAATGCAGCAAAACAATTGAAAGTATTAGAAGTGTCTTAGATGTCAAAAATCTTTACATGCAAAGACAGAGGGACGGTCTTAAACAGTAATTAAATGCATTACAGAATGTTACATTTACACACAGATGCACAAATTGCATGTAAACACATAAGCTTTTTACTGCGTAATACTCAATACTCACTACTCTTGAGTACTTTTAAAATACCTTTTTTGCATAATTAGAGTAATATTTACAACAGATACTTTTACTCTACTTACACAACATTTTTGAACAAGTAATGGTACTTTTACTTGAGATTTTTCAGTACTCTTTCCACCACTGCCTGACATCTTTTACAACCCTTTAATTTGGCCATAGCATGGATTAACTTATGCCATAAATAAACATTCATGATGTTTAATGTTTTGACTTTTATCACTATTTCCGTTTCTATTTATTTAGAAAAAAATATGTATCACCAAAATCTAAAATTATAGACGGTGAGTGGGACCTCAAGAGTTGATAAAGAACAACCATCTTGAAAGTTGAACATGGATAATATTTTTGTAAATGATCTCTGGCCTAGCTTATACTGTCTACATTGTAACATATATAAGTTGATAATAATACGACATATATGTATATCCGGGCAGTCAGTGCTTTATTCATTAGCTTAGATAACACACTTACAGAGGTCTATTTAACGTTACACAAAATAATTTTTACAGCAGCATTACCTGTTCATATCTTGAACCTTTTCCCTTCCTCTGAAGAACTTCTCTCTGCCAGGCTTGTCATAAACCCCATTACTGTTCTCTGTGAAGCGAAGAAACCATGTTAATTTGTGTTTAAAAGGCTTGTAGCATTTAACAGTTAGTATTGAATATAAACTTGTACTGTAGCATTTTTGCATCAAACTTTTCACGCGGCGCAAGTGATTTTTATGGCGCTGTGGCGCATGCGCATTACCCTAGTAGAGCGGTAAGTAGAAATTGATATCAGCTTTTTCATCGCACTTTAGATTTAGTTTTAGTCAGGTTTTATTTAAGTTCACGAGGAGAAAATACAGTTTTTACGAATTATCTGAAATTTGGTGCGGGTGTTAAAAAACCTTGTTTGAATATCTTGAATAATGAGATAAACAAACAAACAAATAACTCTCAAATGTCTCTCACCCATCTGGCGTAATGCCACATTCATACAACAACCATTTACAACGTTCCGTTAGTGGAGCTCCTGTTTCCTTATGTTACCTTGAGTATTTTTCATAATTGGTGATGCACAGCCTGACTTGTAAACTAAAGGCTTTACATGTGAACATGTTGAGTTTTCAACTGCAAGGGATTGTGGGTAAAGCCAATTTACAACACAACATTTAAAAACAGTCAAGCCTAAATGCCCAATACCTATTTAGAAATAATTCATATTTATTTTTTGATTTCCACATTTAAATTTTTAACAGCTTCAGCATATCACCATAGCCTACAGCTACCCCAAATGATTATTAACCTCTTTTAGCATTTTATCACATTGTAATATTTGATTTATTTATTTGAATATCTTAATTATATATATATATATATATATATTTTTTTTTTTTTTTAAATTCCTATTGTTTATTATTTATTTGTCACGGACGGTATTTTGGTAACTAATATATATATATATATATATATATATATATATATATATATATATATATATATATATATATATATATATATATATATATAACATTTATTGTACTTTTCCATTTTCTTTTAATTCGCATTTTTGTTTGGTTATTCTTGTTGATATGTATTTGTGCCTGTAAAACACTAGATATGATTTGGGTTGGGGGAAAAAAACTTGACTGATGCTTCCTATCTAGTTCTGTGGGAACTTTTTCATCCGGGTATTTGATGTCTGTGCATTCTTTGCTCTCATTGGAAACGAGTCAAAATTCTGTGATTTCATTGGTTGTCGCTCCTGTCAGTTTTCAGTGTAGCCAGCACGGTTGCTGGTCGTGGCAGCACGACAGGCAGGCACGTAGAAAGTCTTTTCTTTTTGAATAGGAAGAGCGTTTGTCATTCATTTTCATACGGATTGTTTGGAGTTTTAGTGTCAGCTTCGTAGCATCGAACCTGTTTCTTGATTTGCCTTCAGCCATTTTTGTGTAGCAACGAAAACTTTTCCCGGTGTGCCTCATTCACCTCTTGTTTTCACGTAACGTCTCAGGTAAGAATGTAAACAGTAATACTCATGACGATATCGTTAAATAACTGTAAACGACAGTTTGGCGGCCGGTGTATTCCTAAAGCTGTAAGCTGTTTAATTATTTGTTTTATACGTTTAAAATGAACATAAGACTCTCACCTGAAACAGGTGGCACAGGCACAATACATGTAAGTTAAGTTACCTGTTCAACAAGTTTTACTCCCAGAATTCAGAGCGTTCCCCTATTAAGGGGACACTAGACAGCATATATACAAATTTACATACATTAAATAGTTTAAAATATTTCCAAACACTTGTAAATTCAGAGGTGTGTGTACTGAGGTGAGTCAGTGTTTTGGTTTCTATCAGCAGCTGTTAAAAGGATGTCCAATGTCGACTGAAGAAGAGAATTGGTATTGATCAGTTGGGGGCGCTAGTTCATTTAAAACTTTCCTAAAATTACAAAAGTTTCAAGACATGTTATTCATTGAATGGACCACAATATAACACACTTGACACCCATATATCTAGGATGCAACCTTGAAACCTTTTGAAAAACCATACACGTCCCGGGAGTTTCTGTTTCATGTTTTTATTCTTTTAAAGGTCTTGTGAGTTTTTGCATTTATTGTCACTTGTGGAAGACACACTTATTTAGGCTTATTTAAAGAATTTAGACAAGCCGACACACCCCAGTATTTTGGCACAGAAGCGTCTTGTTTGTTTAAATATATTGCGTACATTAACAGCTTATTGATAGGTTTGTTATACTAAGTGAACAATTAATTTACACTGACTTCTATGTATTCATGTAATTTTTGTTGCCCGTAATTTTGTTCAAATTTTGTTCTCTCAGCATCAGACTCTAATTTTAATATACTCAAATGATAGTCAAACCGTTGACTAATTTGTTTGTCAGTTTCGATAACGGAGCGTTTGCTTGAGAAGTTAAGATCCTTCATATTGTTATGGAGTCTTTCCTTTAAACTGGGATTTTTAGTTTGTTATAGTTAGTTTGTTAGTGACACATTAAGAAAAATTTGCTTTGTTTTCCTCATTAAGGAGACCAGCATGTCACCATGGATTAAGCATATTTGCCTTGTTCTTGTGGCTGCGTTCATGTTGGTCAAGACAACAGAGTCAAAGAAAGATGAAGCACTGTACTGTTCAGGTGAGTTGATCATATAAAGAAAAAGCTTGTAATGCTGTATAAGATGATTGGAGTGAGCTGGTAACAACAACAGCCTTTCCTAGTTGTATTTTTTGTCTCTTTTATTTTCGTTATTTAAACGGTCACTGCCAAGTGTATACATATTTATACTAAGATTATTAAACCGTATATGGAGTAAATGCTAATTTATTTAAAATTAAAGGGATATATGTTCAAGCATCTTTTTCATCAAATTAAAGAACTAAAAATCAAATTAAGCGTTATGTAATCAATCACTTTTGATTGTCTTTTTTTATTTAAATCTAACAACATTTGACTTTTGGTTTGCCAAGTACCAAATTTATTTTATCTTTAAACTGGGATCTAAAAGAAAAATACTTTACATAAACAAACATAAATTAGACTGATTGAATTGGAAGGACAGGTTTGTTTGTAATTATCCTAATTCAACCTGAACAACAATGTTGTTTCATTCAGTTTTACGTTAATCTCACCAACCAAAATATCCTGTTAATGGTTTAAATAGTTTTATGTTTTATGCAGTCAATTATGCTTAATTGTGATTAAATACCTATGCTGCAAAAATATGATTTCTTAGATAAAGTGTACCCTGATTTAGTTTGTTGAATTGGTGCATGTCCTGCATTAGACCACTTTTTTTTAACACATCTTCTGCATGGCGTTTAAAAAATCATCATAATAAGGATAGTGCCGCTGATTTATGTTCTCTTTGAACAAATGTGTTAATATTAGATTAATGTTAGTAGTGCTGTTTATTAAGCGATGTCAGCTGCAGTTTGATATAATCAAAGTACTCGGAATGAGCTTTAAATAATAAATGAATATCTTCAAACAGGGAATGTCAAACCAAGTTCACAAAAAAAATAGTTAAATACAAAATTTTTGATGACAATATTTTTTACTTTATATGAATCTCATTTTGTGGTATAATCACTATATTTTGAATAATTTTTTTTATGAAAGTAAATCACAACAACAACAGAACATTACATTGTTACAGATTGAACAGTATGTCCAGTAGTAAAGACGTGTTTCAGTGTGAATTATAACTTTAGGTTGTAGGTGATGTATATTTTTTTGCCATAACTTCTACATCTTAATTTGCAACTAATGTTTTGTACAAGGTAACTTTCAAAAATTGGATATTTTTCTTTTAAATTAAGTGATTGTAAAGCAAATGTGATTCATTATATGTGACATATGAATGTAAATCATGTGCCTTTTAAAAGGCCAGCATTAAAGCAACATTGACACAATCTATTTCTACTGTTTTGTATGTGAATAGATTTCATCTCTTACTTTTAGAGGATTCCGAAGTTAATTTGTATGGTAAACGTACAGTTTAGATGTATATCCCAGTCTGGTTATAATGCTGTACTAAGATTTTTTAAAAGAGCCATGTTGGTTTATAATATAGAATAAAATGTAGTAATCCAAAATGTTGAAACTTTTTAACTAGTTCTAGGAGCAAATCTTTTTGGAGAGTCAAAGGGTGCAAAGCTTGGCTCAGATAAAGCTTACTTTAAGCTCCGCCCAGGTTTGGCAGTTGCCATGGAAATATAGCAAGCATGACTAAGCGCCAGCAAACTCAAGATTTTACCACAAGCATAGCTAGTGGGTTTTTCCTTCAAAAAAACTACATGCAGTGCATAAAAAGAAACATCTTATTCTAATTAAAATGATTTTAATAAAATGCATGATTAAAAACCTTTCATATTCGCTAACTTTGCAGGTTTGCATCTTGTTTTTTTTTAGCTGTTTTGTGTAAAGTGTATATTTATTTACCCAAATCTTTTTACAATGCATCTAATTTATTTATGCAAAATGACTTGCAGCATATTGTCAAGATAGTTAAGCTTGCACTTTCAAAATAAGTAATTTTTTCCCTTCCTTTTCTAGCCTGCATGGCAATTGCAGATGAAATTAACTATTCCATCAGTCAGACGGATCCAAAAAAGATGATTCATGTTGGTGGATTCAGACTTAAACCTGATGGAAGTCTCACAGACAAAAAGGTATGAGTCTGTGTTAATTTATACAAAATAACTACATTCATCATTACCATTGCATTTACAGTTTATGCAACAAAATTTTAAGATCATAATTTCAGTGCATGCTTTACAACAAGACATGTAAATCTGTTAATGTTTAGGCTCACACTTAAGCCTGATTTAAACTTCTGCGTCAAGTGACCGGCGTAACCCACGTTGCATGCAACGCGCGTAGCTGTGCATTTATACTTCTGCGCGCTGTCTCTGTTGGTCTGCATTAACACTTCCGAAACGCTAGTTGGCAGTGAGGTGTTAATGTTCCTCTGTGTCGAGTTTCTTCGCTGCTTTTTTGCTTTTCCTGAACACTTCTGGGATGTACAAGTGGCTCAAACTCGCTCATTTTGAGGCAGGAACCGGCGGACGTGCAACAACTTTAACTATGAGGTAAACACAAAACAAAACTTTCCATCCGGAGCTCCTTCACGGGACTCCACACTTGTAAACAATTGCTCCATCAGGCTCGCACCATTCGTGCGGCTCTCGGTCCCGCCCAGACTCGTCAGCGCTACCAAGCCGACCAATCACAGAGCTTGCGCTACGCGTCGTTGCGATGTGTAGTTACATTTTTTGAGAGGTGCACGTCAGCGACGGCCACGGCGAAGGGCTACGCGTCAGCAGTCGGCGTTTGACGCAGAAGTATAAATCAGCCTTTAGATGCACAACCTAAATGCTCTAGTATCAAAGCCAGTCGCAATACTGTTTGCAAATACATTTAAAAAAAACAATCGTCTTCTTAATATATTAATATTATAAAGGTATTTTACTTTGAATAGACTTTTATGTTTCCACATGTTTAGTGTGTTTTTTTTTTTTCTTTAAACTTTTTTTATTCTATTGGGCAGACATTGCTGTTTGCTTGTGTAAAATATTAATTCATTAGTCATAAGTTTGACTGTTCAATTGGTGTAAACGGCAGTTGATCCGATTAGCCTCTCTATATTTTGATACATTTTGGCTGTATGTTTTCATTAGGCTGCTTTAAAAAGCACTTTTATAGTAGAAATGCACTGTAACCTTTGTAACCACTGTAACCATTGGCTCGGGGTCGTTTAAAACAGCCAACTGCGGTTTGTCTTGCTCAAGAACACAACCTTAATTGTGATATTATAAAAAAGTTAGCTAGCTTGCCAGCTAGGAGGTAGCTTATATTTTCTGTTGCTGCACAAGTTTTACAGTCTTTATTTCATTTTTACACACCCAATATGTACTATCATGTATCATTATTTTACGATTACACTGGCAAAAGTTGAATTGTAACCATGACAAAAGTTTATATTTACGGTTGTACTCTGTTTTTTTATGTATATAGTTATAAATGAAAAATATTTATATAAAGTTTGTTAATTATAGATATTTATAGAAATTTAAACAAATATTTTATACTATATAGTCATGCATGTATTTATATACACGGTATGCACAAATATATATTGTTTGTAAATATGAGCTTGTTTTTAGATACAAATTTGATTAAGCATTTGACCGGACCGCACTGGTATTTAGTGGGTACTTATCTCTTTAATATTTCCTGCTGTTTTTAAGCTTGTTTTGTTTACTTGAGTAAGGGGAGCCATTTTCACAGTTTCCTTCTCAACAGTGGTGTCAATATGTAAAGGTCAGACCCAATGAACTCTAAGCCCTGACCTCTGGTATCCAGGGACTGTCATTAGGTGCCTGACTCCACTATTGATTAGGGGTTAATCCCCTTTTGATTGTAACTGCTGCCTAATAACAAGTGTTTGTTCACTTCTGACTTTTCCCCTCCTCTTGCAGGCTGTTTCAACTGTGGTAAAATATGTTTTGTTTGACTGTTTGATGGGAAGTGTAGCGCGAGTAACAATCTGCACTAATTGATAATGAGACTTGCATGTTGTTTACATTGTCTGGGTGAAATAATAAACAAGTAAAAGGTCATTACAGGTGTTGTTAAGAAGGAAAAGAACCTTAAAAGCTGTTTTATTCTGCTTCATTGCAGCTGAAACAGGTGATTTATGAAGCACTTAATTATTTGTTTCATGCATCTGTCTTTTTTTCTTTATTTGTCATTTATCAGTTCGTTGAGGTGGAGTCAAGAATCTGGGTTTTAATTGCATGTTATGCTTTAAATTGCAGCTCAATGAGAACTAACATTGATTTTGGCCAAGTTTTTATCTTTCATGGTAAAATAATAGTGAGTTAAACGTAAAGGTGCCTCTATCAATCTTTAAATTTGCTTGTAATTTTTTCCCTTTTCTACAGATCCATAAATAATATGTCTAGCATATTTACTGCTCACATAATAATGACCATGAGTGGTCACAATATCCATGTTCTTCCATCTGCCCACGTTGCTCTTTAGTTTCCAAGTATCCCATATCCTTTCAATAATAAGGAAGCAAGGCAGAAGCAGTGTAGCAGAACTCACTCACTGTTCCCTGAGAGTGGCTTCACTTAAAAATAAATGCTAATTAAAGCTCCCCAAATCCCTCACTGTTTCTCTTTTCATACTTGGCTTGGTTCACTTGCCCAGGAGCTCTAGGTAAACCCCTGCAATGCACCCCATGTTTTTATCAGATTCATGAAAGATAACCGTCAACAGTCATTGTTGAAAGGTCATTTTATGTATAAATAATAATGAAAAAACTCTTGATCTAATCATTTTTTTCTAAGCTATATTCTCTATGCTGTGTTCAAACTTATTTCCTTATTAAAGCACGCAAATAAAGCAGCAAAAATAAAGTACCCTGTGTCCCACTACTACAATGATGCCTGGCTTTCCAATGGGAATTCAGTGAAGGATGGCATCCCTGAGAAGCCTTTTCTCTTTCTGGGCCGCCTGGACTCCCCCTCCCCTCTTTATTCCTACAGAAATTCTTTATTGACAGCTTCTATTCAAACCCTTCAGACTGTTACGGGGAGGAATTTAATTCCCCACCATTTTCAGGATTGCATGATAAGGACTCTGCAGAGGATGCGGCACACAAGCCACCCTCTGCTAGATCCAAAGGAAAGATTTCCTATTGCTTTTGGACTTTTGAGCACAACAGAATCTCTTATTTCTCTTCAATAGTTAACCCAAAGTGGCCTAAAGTTTAATGAGTTGAAGTGTAATTGGCGAAGATCTCGAATACGATAATCCACTTTTTATTCAGAGGATGTCAATACACCCACATTGTTTGCATTTAAAAGTCCTGCTGAACGATATTAAATTTCCTCATCGATAGACAAGCGATCATCTCCTCTGTTCAATGACTTTTATCCACTCATAGTTGATCGAAAATTGTCTTATCTCACAGTCCATCCAAGCGCATTCAGCTTTTTAATTAAAAAGATGGGGGATGTGTGGATAGGTTGCTGTCCTTCCGTGGGACCTTTTATCTTATTTGTGACCAGATGGCAGCGAGCCACGGAAGCCTCTTTATGTCAGCGAGCCTCACAAGAGTGGAGGGGGTAGAGACGCCCTCATAATGTAATCGGTGAGACCGGAAGGGTCCATACTGTGTCTGAAAGGGGACAATGGGGTCAGGGATATATCTACATCGCAAGAAAATCCAGCTCATCTGCAACCTGTCCCTTTCCCAATAACCCCCTTGCCCCCCATCATCCCCACCCTTTGACTGGCCTGACAAGGAAGACTTCCTGCTTTGATCATTGGAGGGTGGAAGAGATGAGCTGCCCAAGAGAACCAAAGGATGGGACTGCACTGTTTACCCTGCACTTGGCTGCTGTTGACAAGTCCCCTCCCCACTGCTTACCCCCCGCTCTCCAGGCTTTTCACTCTCTCCGCCCCCCGTCACCCTTTCCCCTTTCTCCTTCCGGGGGAGGCCAGAGAGGCAGGAGCAGGGTGCACCTTGACCTGTCTAGACACCACAGTGTGTTTTTGTTCTGTTGCCAGGGCAAGGAGATCTACTTTTGCAACTTTGGAGATACAGGTTAAAAGTCAGCGTCGTGGCACAGGGGATGTGTTTAAATGAGAACGGAAGGAAAAGGTCATCAGAGTGACCTCAGTGCCCTGTGTTTTTCTTTCTTTTTTCTTTTTTTTTTTCTTTTTTTTTTTTTTGAGATGGTTGACTTAAACTCAAGTCAACTAGTCTTTCTATAATTTTATTCTAAATTCTTTCTCCGCTAGGTTCCTCTTGCTAGGTCTGAAACTTACTTAACTGAACTGCTGGAAGAAGTTTGCAAAAGCATGAGTGATTATGCTCTGTACGAGAACCCAGACACCAAAGAAAAGAGCTACAAGAGGTTTGCACCAAGAGATAATGATGGCGGGAATTTTCCGGATTTCAAAAATTTTAAGTTTGATGGACCAGAGAGTTCCAGTGCCTTGAAGTTTGCTGTGAGTACCAGCTTTATTTTGTTCAAAATTTTAAATATTTGTTTAGTTTTATGTAAGGATCAAAAGTCCTCTTCTTGGTTCATAGAAGTGTTTTGGAAATGTTTGTTTCCAGTCAGTTTCCATTTTTGTCAGTTTAAAAAAAAAAAAAACATTTAATTTCTTTAACTAAATTTTTAAATATTTAAGAAACATTGTATATATTGCTATGTTGGATTGCTCAGCAATATGTCTTTCTTTTTCTTCAAATGTGGTGGCCCTACAATAATTAAATTATATTTTAAAAATATATATATTTGATAGTTTGCTTTTTCTTGTAATTGTGTTTAATTATTTTCAGATTTTTTTATGTTTTCTTGAATTTATACACTTGGTTTAAGACTATGAAGTGTACAAATTTGAAACCTTATTGTGAATATGAATCAAAAAATTATTTATAATATTTACAATTTTCTATTTTACACACAATGTCCCTGAATTTATAAACCACAGCAAAATGTCTGTAATGTGTCATAAGTTGTCTCTTGAACCATCCAAGATGGCAGACTAACTAGACTAAAGATGGCTGCCCGTTTCTGGGACATGTATTTTTTTTACTGTTGTGAATGATAATTACTTGGTGCTTATTTCCTGTCGGCATGCTCATAGGATGCTAACTAATGTATATTGAAATGTGCACTGCAGTGTGAAAGCATTGTGGAAGAGCTGGAAGATGATATCATCTCTCTCTTCGCCAGTGATTCAGACCATGTGGCAAAGACGTTGTGCAGTGAAGTATCAGGTATTTACGTATGAAAACATCAGGCAAGGATGTTTTTGCAGAAAAAAGTGAACCATAGTGATGACTTGATTTAACCTGTCCATTAAGAAGCTTCCACATTTTCATCTATTCCCCTTTTGTTGTGCTTTTCTGTAAATATAAATAATTTTTTTTATTTATGTGCTTGACTTTTTCTTTGCATAAAAAATTGCTCAGTCATTTTTTATTTATTAATTTTAAACTTGTCTTTAAATCAGATTGGGCTAGATGTTGCTTTTCATTTTAAATTAGGCTTTTCACATGCAGGACCTAAATATCTTGCAGATTGTTTTTATAAAAAAGTACTCAAACATAAGCATGGTGTGTCTTTTCTGAGGAAATTGTGTAAAACTATTTTTCTAGCATTATACAAAATTTAGAAAGCGGTTTAAAGTGTAATTATCTGAAATACCACTATCATTTTCAAGTAACACAAGTAGAATTATACAGATTTATGTTAAATTAGTGCTAAAATGGCACACACACACACACACATGCATACATTATTTAATTAAAATTATTTTAATAGATTCTAAAGAAACGTTTAAAGTTGCACCTGCCAAATTTAGGTACCATAAAGTCAATCAAAGCAATGTATTTCCCTTTTAATATTCCTGTGTCAGGCACAAATATTTTTTAAAAATCTCAGTTCAAAGCTTAGTCATTTTTTATTAAAATTTATTTAATATGATAATTTTAATATAGATTTTTTGTTTGTGTGTGGATTATCAAATGCTAAAGTCTTTTGTCTTGTTTTCTTGACACGTCCAGATCACTGTAAGAGCTCCGTTTTCCAGCACAGTGAACTTTAGCTTCACCGTCGCATCTGCTGGAGAAAACTCAAAAACCTGGACCAAAGTGGAGATCTCAGACATTTTCCTAAAATATGTTTTTGTTTTTGAATTTAATGAAAAATTCTAGTAATTAAAATAATATAAGTTTATCAAATCGTATTACAAATGAACATTTTACCTGTATTGCCTTTATATGCACAGACATGAAAACTGCTGAACAACATTGGTGTTAAGTAGATTTTTATTCCTGTAATTCAATAATTATTTTTAATCTCTGTTTAGTTTGATTTGAAGTTGACGCAACATCAACTGTGATATTACCAGTGTCAATTGTGACTGTTTCACTCTGTGATAAAAGTAAATAAAATCTTTCAAAGAAAGCGTTTTAAGTGTACCATTTGTTTTCATATTGGCTTGTTTATCCCAATTCTGAAGTACTAATGTGAGCAAACAGGCAGGTTAGATACAGCAACAGAAAGCTTTTGGCCCAAATGGTTTCACGGCACAGTCGGCTTGTTTTGTTCTGACGTCCCATGTCTGTCCAAGTCGGGCTTTTGAACATGGCCGCTGGGTGAGCACGATGGCATGCCTTTTCGCACCCTTCCCTCACAGCTCCCTCCATGCAGAACTGCGCATGCGCCACCAGGGCAGCAGCTCAGGGGCAGCTCCTGTTTTGGGAGAGTAAAGGAGCAAGAGACGCCATGATTGCTCAGCTCTGTGAGTTGGTCTAGATATGGGTGTCAGCCAAATCACTCAGGGGGAAAATGACAATACTCACTGCTTCCTCTGATATTGTTGCATTGTTTAACACAAGTCTGCTTTCTGTGCTCAGTGGGAAAATGTTAGGTATGACAGGACCGTGTTTAGGGGTTACATGATGCCTGTTTCCTTTTGGGAAATATAGCACCTGGGCATTTTTTTTAGATAATCACTTGATGTAAATTAATGAGTGATCCCTTTATCCATCCTACAAGCTAAACTGTTGACATTTTTGTCAGGTGTTTCATATAATTATTAATATTATTGTTTTGCATAAATTTGATCTGTAACCCTTGATTTAAAGAATTAAATATTCTAACATACAGTGTCTAGCAGAAATGAGTACACCCCTCACAGATCTCTCTTTTAAATTAATATTTTCTATAAGAAACTTTTAATATTTGTGCATATACAATGCTCAGCAAATTTGAGTACACCTCATTTAGTAAATTAATATTTGTATCCATTTGTCAGTGAATATAGGCAATGTATTTTGGTGTATTTAAACAGAACAGATTTTTAAACATTTTTGTTTAAATAATATTATAGTCACCGAACATATTTAGAAATTGAAAGATAATACAATTAAATTCAAGCAATTTATTGCAAAACAAAAACAACCTACAAAATTTCAACTAAACAAAAAAAGTTTTGCTTCTCTTGATTTTTATTTTTCTCTTTCAATTTGTATTTAATATTTTTCTTTAACATATACATTTGGGTGTACTAGTTTTTGGACCGTATCATAAATAATTTTCTTAGATAAGCTCCAAATTTGGCTTCAATACTGACTAATCTAATGTATATGCACAAATATAATATTTCATAGCTTCCTGTTACAAATATGAATTTAAAGATAGACTTGTGAGGGGTGTACTTGTATATGCTGAGCACTGTACACCACATTATTCAGTATCAATGCCAAAACTATATCAAATCTAACCAAAAAGACACTGAAAAATTGATAAAAATAATACAAATTTTTAAAAGGTGGTATACTCATTTATGAACTATAAATATTTATTATTAGATTTGTTTTTTAGAGATGCATGGATTATTGTTGCTTTTATTGTTGGATATTGAAAAAAAAAACAACAACAAAAAGTACATTTGTAAATAAAACATGGGTTTTCTTAGTAGATTTTTGTTCTTGAAAGTGCTATAAGCCTTTGATGTAACTTGTGAAGTAAAGTGAATTACTGGTTGAAAGATGATAACTTTCACATAATTTTCACAAAAACACACTGAACACGTTTTTGAATTTTATATTTACTTTAATAAGTCAAAGCTGACATTCTATGTGTATAACCTGTCTCAGGAAACTGCTTGTTGTTTTAAAAAGTTGGTTGTGACCTTACAAAGTAGCTTATTTCAATTGTGTTTACCCAGCTTTGTGTATGTGCTTTGAGATTAAGAAAGACAAATCGAGTGTTACCACAGTGCAGTGGACTATGACTTAAAACAAAGGCAAGTGGACAATTATACATCAATTTCCCATGAAAACAAAATGCTTTGGAAGAACTAAAGTGGAGACTCTATATGTGTAGTAAAGCATTTTTTTCTCCTAATCATGTCAACTAGATGATTAACCATTTTGTCAAATTACCAATGTCAGCCAGAATGGTCAAAAACATACACACTTAAAAAATGTAAGTGAAATTTGATCTCTCCCTTAAATTCGCTATAAAGTTCAACTGCTGAGCTGTGGCGTTAACTTGTATTCTAACAAGATTAAAATATATTTGTCCTGGAGATTAGCATACTTAAATCCTTTTTTTGCTTTTTCTGAACTGGCAGTGTGCTTTGATCTGTGTTGCGTGGCAAGAGCCTGGCTTTGGCTTGGCCATCCGAGTGCCAAGTGTGAAATTGGCCTGATGTCATCCCCATTCTTCACCCTCTACATCTTTCACTGCCTTAATTATATTTCCGCCACAAAGCCCCAGCTCTTCATTGCATATTCAAGTTTGACTAGGAAGCATTCAAAAACTATAGATAAATGACTCTGTTGGAATGGGGACAAGATAGGCTTTTTTTGTGATACGCAGACAAGGGAGATCAACACTGTTCTGAAATGTATTTTCTTTTCTAGAGTGACTGGCCTCAGGAACCTCTGCCATTCAGACTTTGGAAAGAACTGTTTAGGCAGAGGATCATTTTGTGTTTGTGTGTTGTTTTCATTTGCAGAGCAGGTCCTATGAGATAACTACAGTGGTTTAAGGGAACAACTATGAATGACAAGATTTTTTTAAGCTGTCCTTATTTCATATTTTGTCTCTCCAGAACTGCATCCAGAACCCGGCAGTATACTTAAATAGCTTTTTCCCTTGGAACTTTTTGATAGACAATTAGATAAAAGAATTGTAGATCAAATATTTTTTAACACTGAAAAGTATGCAAGGGTTACAAAAAAAAGTTTTCACAATTGCACCATAAAAAAAATTGGTTCTGCAAAAAAACTTTCAGTTTACAGCTCTTACATTTTATAGTGCAAAAAACATGTTAACTATCTAAAAAAATATATGTATATATAGTTGAAGTTAGAATTATTAGGGCTCTGTGTTTGTTTTTTTCCCTATTTCTGTTTAAGAATTTTTTTTTTCAACTGTGTATATTTATTATTTATTTAGTTTCTTCATAATTATTATTCATGCTTTCATAAATAATTCTAAATGTCCATTGAACGAAACTTTCTTTTGATTACATAAAGCTTGGGAAACCAAAAGTGCCCCCAACCCACCCAAGTTTTTTATTTAATTTTTTTTATTAATAAAATAAGGTTTGCAAATGGGGTTTTGCAGCGATGTTTTTGAATTTTCTAAAGAACTTTTCAGTGAATAGCTCTTAAAAAACAAGTTTTTTTTTCTGTGAAAACATCTGAAATTATCTGAAGAACATCTTTTTTTCAGTATCAGTCTTAATTGGTCTTCTATTAAGAAGCTCAAGAAGCTTGTTTTATATGGAAATTGGTTGTTTACGTATTTTATTTATTAAAATAAGATGTTCTTCATACTTGCCACAATTAATACATTTTAAAGAAAAAATAAGGAACCTTTTTTATTAAATAAATAATTGTTCATTATTTGCATTGATTATTTAGTAAAGAAACTTTTAAAATTTATGGGACCTTTGAATAACACAAAGGTTAAATAATGGTTCCTAATGATCATTCAAAATGATCCCATGGAGAATGGGATAAATAACCTTACAGTTCATATTACTTATTAATTTTTTATTGTATGTCATCATATTTTATCATTAAATATATAGATAGTATTATATAAACAATCATTTTCCATATACACTCATAAAAAACATTTTCATTGAGAATTTTTTTTTTTTTAATATTCAATCCACATAAATTTGTTAAGTGTTATGTTAATTTAATCAACTTGTGTTGGGACAACATGAATGAATTGTGAAGAACCCTGCATTTTCTTAGTGTATATATGTATATATACATAGGCCTACATATGAAGCTCTGAGGTGTTTTAGGTTCTTCATGGAACCATCCGTTTCAATAAAGAAGACTGGAGAATAAAATATTCTTTACTGGTTCTTCACATTTTTCTGATGTTTTCACACCAATAAAGAATTGGTTCTTTTTAAAGAACCTTTCGCTAGTCTCTTTAACTTTGGAGAACCAAAATAGTGGTTGCTGCATTGCTATTAACAACTTTCTGAGAACGTTTTTGACAGTGGAAAAAGTTTAAAAACGTCTTAAGAGATGGTAACTGAAAAGTTATTTTGGAAACCATTGCTGCAAAAAAAAAAGCTTTCTGACCTTTACTTTTAAAGAGCGGTTGTGGAATGATGATGATGATGATGATGATGATGATTACTATTATTACTGTTAACGTTATTTAAACGAAAAAAAAACAGTTGAATGAATGTTTACTCAAAATGTTTTTAAATGGTTGTGTTACCGTGAAAACCACTTTTTGAAAACTTGGTTTATATGGCGTGTAGTGGAAAGTTTTTTTTAACGTTCTTTCCACCAAAAAAGTGTTCCTTTTTGGGAGCTTTATTTTGTTGATTAAATGGTTGATCCGAATATTTCAAAGAACAATAAGAGATCCCGTGTTTTCTCCATCTCTGATCAAGAACTGGATGTGAGATCTTGGAATCTCCTCAGTCCATTTCATCTTCAATTCGGTGGCAGAAATGCTCCGTTCATGTTTTACGTAAACCATATAATGAGATGCCTTTAAGATCCGTGCTGAATTCGGAGGTGCTGAAATGTAGGCGAAGTGAAACGAGCCACCTGCAGCTGTGACAGGAGGCTTTGACCTTCAACGGGGTCTCCCGCCACAGACTTTATTCAGGAGCCTCACTGCGCGTCTGAGCGGCAACTGCCTTTTTCTTCCCAGTGAAGCTCATCAAGTCAGTGACCGTTGGGCGTTACTTCCACATACAAGCTTGGCAAGAATAGAAATGCAGATGAGATTCTCTGGCATTGAGGAACAGGTCAATGCTGGGAATGGTTCTCAGAGATAGCTCGCCTTTTGTGAGAGACCTTTTCAGTAATACGACTTTTCAAGAAATGTTTTCATGGCGTCAGGTAAAACTTAAGTTACATTAGGCCTATGTGTAAAGTTTCATCCATATACACACTGGCTA